TCATTCATAGCCCATATTCTTCTACAATTTACTCGTAAATCACGTTCCACTGGTGTCACGTGTTTCTTTCCGTGTACACTGTAACGCACAAGTATGTCGGTGTGTTTTGTCATTCCCTTGATTTGTGTTTATCGCGCGCCAAAACTGACAATCAGGATCCGGAAGACCACGCCATAACCTTGTCTCTCTTTGATGGGCTGGGTAATCTATATGGTGTCACCCATGATTTTGAATTTTCTTATCGTAGTCCTGACCTGTTAGCCACGTGAACGATAGGGGATGCACGTGACTGTCTGTGATTCTCAGGCTTTACGAATCACCGGCACATTACCGCTCCTCACTTGACCATGATGCGCGTAATTGCTTTGTTGCTATGGTAAACAACTATAGTGACAAGGTTACTGAAAAGGTGTCGGAATCCAGGATGGTCCGCACCTGTATGTTTTTCACATCGTGTGCCTGAATACGTGCTAATCTGAGTACGAACACAGTCACCAGAAAATCAGCGCCAAGTGTGGCCAGACTGGATGGAAATAGCGATCAGCCGGTAGACTAGACGATAAACCTGATGATTAGCTGTGACGTGACGGAATAGCTTGGCTTAGCGGATCTCATTGCGAAAGTTTTCCAACATCTGATTAGCTAAGAGACTGATGGTCTAGTCTTACGGTTTCTCTTGTATTTAAAGGTTTGTATAGTCTGTCTCGTGGCCAGTAGGGGCTTCTTATTTGGAAGTTCGCAGTAGCATTTCTTCCTGTATGGTGACGAACGAGGCGTGTTTTAACTAATCCTGGATACGACGTCGAATTGTTCTTACTTGTCACGTGATCATGTTTGAGGTAATAGTTTGTACTGGTCGGACGGAACAGAGGGATGCGCCAGAGAAGTGAACTTTAATGTGAGAGAGAACAACGAAGGTCTACATACAAGACAACGATAACGGGAATGTATCAAATTGGAAAGTGCAAGTAGAATAGATAAGGCTTAGAAACATTCAGAACATAATAGGTACGGTGTCGGCTAGAATTTGCTGTGACTGAAAGCTCTGTTTATAAAACAGCATATTTACATATTTGGATAGGTTGTGTTTGAGGTGAGTTCAAAGAAGTTGAACGAGCTTAGTTGCTGGGGTTTCTTGGTCCACTGTGAACATATCGGTGACCATACAGCGGACACATTCATTGAAACAATCCGACGTTTCGACCACCGAGGGTGACCTTTATCGAGGAACCAATGAGGGATACTAAAAAAGCTGCTAATGTGACTAGCCCGAGACTGGTCATCATACTGTCATATGGCTGGGATTGGTGCAAACATCTCCTGTCCTGCCGCTGGTTGTGTGTGTGTTATACAAGCGCTTCACACCTGACCTTAGGGATGACTTATCATGCCACGTGAGGCCTCTCGTGTTTACGTCATCCGCATATTGTGGAGCCAGCCGGATCAAATGGCAACTAACTCGGCACCATCAGAATTTTCAAAACACGAGTGTCATGAGGAGGACAGATGACTCAGCGCAGAGTAGCTGTGCATTTACGTCGCGGGTTTCCAAAGTTGGTTCACAGCAGATGCATGGAGAGCGTTGGTTGAGTCCCGCTCCAGTTTGTTCAATTCCCTCACGTTTCTTGGAATGGTCCGAGACTCTCGTTTAGGGGCGCTGATTCGACCCATCCGTTGTATGTCGGCTTGCTCAATTTAAACACGGTCACACTCGGTACAATCAGTTTTGTGGGCACAGATGGGGCTGAAGCGGGTCCTTCGTGCGAATCACTCGTCTCTTATGTGTGTTGTCCGTCAAAACTGACAAAGGCTTCCTCGTCCCCAAGACCTACTTAGTTTACTGTCTCAGTAAAATTGTTCGAGCTTGTAATCTACTTCATCATATCACATTCAAGTGGCCTCCGGATTGTTGCAAGGTTTCTTTGGGTGATTTGAACACGGTCTAACAAATACTGAGCACAATCGAAGATAGTGGAGTGCCCCGGACGTAGTAGTCAGACGGAGGGCTGAAACCATTAGCACGGTGAGGATTCCGTACCGCATCCAGAAATATTCGTCATGCACCCTTCAGCTTCAACACTCACAACACTAAACACCAGAGGGAATACTCGTAGTACTCCAGAGATTCATCCACAACTCGTTTGTTTGTTGCTTCACAAGTCGTACAATTCCTACAAACCAATTCAGAAACCATTTGTCACGTGAAACCCCGGGGGATTTACGTGGATTTGGGTCTAGCCTAGTGTCTGGTTCTTCCGGTTCGCTTCACTTGGGGTTAGTTAAAGACCGACGCATGGAGTGAAATAGAGCGAGCAATTTCCTGTGCAGAAATGTGCCTTTGTTTGGGCAACGTGTAATGAGATGAATATCCCTGAACATTCAAAATCTTATCAAAATACACCCTTGAAGCTGACTGACACTTATACAGTCAATTCCAGCCATCCACATTCAGTGGCTTCTATTTTTACTAGTTCATCTGGTCACACTTGAAACCTCATGAGGTATCATGGGAATTAAAGTAAGCCTAACCATACATCAACCACGGCGAACTCCAAAGCGGATATTAAATGACCCGGACATCGCTTAAGGACTACAGACTATTTTCGGCCGTAGAAATGTCCCGCGAAACCATGTCTCGCTCTCATAGCAGTTACTTTAAGGAGAATAAAGGATCTGTGGAAATTACCTGTATGGCTAGGATTTGCGTAGTCCTTATGGCTGGCGGTTCTCAGTCATTGGGTTATCTCAGAATTAACACATCTGCCCACACAGTCAGCCTTTACACCCGATTGTAATCCAGACTTTCGTAGAATGGTTGTTTCGTTCATCCTTTTATAAATTTCTGATCACCCAAATCACGTTTCACTCTTGAGCGACCAAGATTATCCCACACTGCAAAGTTCCTCACAATCACTTGGTCACCCAAAAATTTCTGGGAAGTTCACTTTAAAGAAATGTGTCAAACGGCTGTCACATGACTTTCTATCATATGATCCAGACAAATTAGCGAGATCTGTACTGGATCATCCCACGCATATTCGCAGGACCTGACGTGTTTTTTGACAAAATCATCAAAGTTCCACCAGTATTTACCCTCTCGATGTGAGAGTGCGAAAGCGATCGTGTGTGGTCCCTAATCGGTGGGATCGACGTAAGTTTTGGGGATAAACCAAAATCCAAACACTTAATCCTCAAATATATTATGCTTTCTCTGGCTTCCCCTTTAATCCTGTTTGACTTATAGCCCGTGAGCAATACGCAGTGAAATAAAAGTCAACTGGATGGCCAAATCAATTACAATACAAGTTTTCCTGTAGTTTCAATGTCACATCATTTACTGCTTCACCTCTTTTTGAGCAGTTTGCTTGGTCATTCTAAATTTTTTGGGGAACATAAAAGAGTATCCGTGGTATATTAGCAGACGCGAACCCGTTTGACTTAGTGATGATCCATCACTTCAATGTTTTCGGAAGCAATCCAAAAAGAAGGGACTAGAATTTTACCTGGTAGAATCATTTCGAGAAATTGCAGTTGTCGTTGGAGACTGGACGAACCTGGTTTCCGGTGGTCGCATCTTGATGGTTTTATGATTGCATCCACAAACTCATATTGTTAAGTTCATTTAGTTGATGGAACAAGTAAATCTCCTGGACTCCCTTCGACAGCCCACAACCAACCTTGTTGGAGACTGGACGAACCTGGTTTCTGGTGGTTGCACCTTGATGGTTTTATGATTGCATCTACAAACTCATATTGTTAAGTCCATTTAGTTGATGGAACAAATAAAGCTCCTGGACTCCCTTCGACAGCCCACAACCCCAGGAATCGCAAAATTCACGCCCTGGAAATGGGAAGTATTCATACACGAGCATAGCATTGCTCAACTCGTTCACGTGGGCGCAATTCTAACCTGACGATGTCAGCTCGATCAGTGACGGAGCGACTGCAAGAAAAATACCAAGCTCAGTGAACAGAACATCAGCCAATCTGCCGTTGGTAGGGGGGAAAGACCATTTATGTGACTGACGAGTTTCAACCCTTTACTTGGTTGTAAATCGTATGGGATCGCATCATCAAGCAATCATTTTAATGGTGTTTAATTTCTGCACCATGTACGCAAAACTTTAGTATTTTTTAAGATCGCGGTCCAAACAGTGCATTTCCTTGACACTCCAGATAATTCGAGCAGGTGTACGCAACTTCTCCGAAATGAGCCACACTTTCTCTTTGTTTCAAATCAGAAACGAATCCAGTTACATGACTGTGGTACAGGGGAATGGTGATAAACCCATGGTCGTTTTTTCTGCCACCCACCTATTTCAAGCAAACGCGCAGGACCTCCCTCGAAGACGTCCAACTTGTCAAATTGTTTCCGTTTCTGAGCGGCTAATATGTAGGCGGCCAAAGCAACCTATGACTGAAAATGTTCAACAGCAACGAAAAGTTAAAGGCAATGTAACCCGGTTGTACAAAAACAGAAAAATGATACTTCCAACAGATAATTAACAGCTGGATAATGACTAATTTCTGGAGAATGTGTTTTGCGGTGCCTATTTTTAAACCGGACTTAGTTTAGAAATCAGCTTCTATAACTGGGACGCACACCAATTCAGGGGCTGGTAGCCTCGGTGAGTTTTTGATCCAAGTTGACATATTATGATATGACAGGACTATGAGTTGATTCAGAGGAATGTCCTATCGCTGTTACCGATGGGCTGTTCTTTTCTTTGATCCAGCTCTCTTAATCAGTGAAGCTGGGGGCCCGAGGCGCTTTATGCTTTGTTTAAAACTGGGTACAAGGTATTCAGTTAACTCCCGTTGTAGTATTATTGTGTTAGTACATAGACTCTGGGGAAAGCGAGATCAACGATAACGGCAGGTAATAGAACATCCAGGCATATCTGAGCACGCACTTTCTGTTTCAAATCAGAAACGAACCCAGTTACATGACTGTACAGGGGAATGGTGATGAACCCATGGTCGTTTTTTCTGCCACCCACCTATTTCAAGCAAACGCGCAGGACCTCCCTCGAAGACGTCCAACTTGTCAAATTGTTTCCGTTTCTGAGCGGCTAATATGTAGGCGGCCAAAGCAACCTATGACTGAAAATGTTCAACAGCAACGAAAAGTTAAAGGCAATGTACCCCGGTTGTACAAGAACAGAAAAATGATACTTCCAACAGATGATTGGCAGCTGGATAATGACTAATTTCTGGAGAATGTGTTTTGCGGTGCCTATTTTTAAACCGGACTTAGTTTAGAAATCAGCTTCTATAACTTGGGACGCACACCAATTCAGGGGCTGGTAGCCTCGGTGAGTTTTTGATCCAAGTTGACATATTATGATATGACAGGACTATGAGTTGATTCAGTGGAATTTCCCATCGCTGTTACCGATGGGCTGTTCTTTTCTTTGATCCAGCTCTCTTAATCAGTGAAGCTGGGGGCCCGAGGCGCTTTATGCTTTATTTAAAACTGGGTACAAGGTATTCAGTTAACTACCGTTGTAGTATTATTGTGTTAGTACATAGACTCTGGGGAAAGCGAGATCAACGATAACGGCAGGTAATAGAACATCCAGGCATATCTGAGCACATTTGAAATAGTTGAATGTGAGACTTGTGGCGAAATATAAAGCTGGGCGTTTCCGAATCACTTCGGAGAAATACGCAATCTGTTACTGAACAAATCGTTTCCCCCGCTCACTTTCCAGGTTAACAGGAGTCCGCGCTCAAACGCAAAAGCCAGTCTGCTAAAAATAGTCTTTTAAAGTAGGAAAAAATGATTTCCGCTGGCTGCCATTATGATGCATACGATACAACTATCAGTTTCGTGTAGCATGTCAGGTGAATAAAAATTCCTACGAAAATGGGATGGCTAGCAGATGTTCTGTTACTGCGAGTCAGCGGTATAGTCACCATTGAGCGAAAGCTTGGTTTTGGTGTTTAATTCTACCGGGACTGGCTTAATTATCAACCGACAGCCATTGTGTAAGCCCAGTCGTGTGCTGATTACCGAAGGTGCTTTCGACTGATTGCTTTTGGTCGGAGAATGTGCTAAGCATATTTGTGAATACTGGCACAGTACATATGCATCGTTATTTCTAAAGAAGCATATCAAAACGGCTGTTCCGGACAGATGATGAAACAGTAGAACGGAATTTAACTGTACATGGGGATGAGTGTCCAAGTAAATGCAGATCTAAGCACCACACTACAAAAGAAGCTGGGCCAAGAGTGCAATGCAGCGAAGGCTTCCGCACATAGAAAGATACCACCCCAAAATAGCAACCGCGCACAGTTGAAGATTTAGCTCTCAAAATATCCTAATGAATATTAGCAGACCAGCCTACCCGTACGTGACCTGTTGGTGATTGGTTGAAGTTTGTGTAGTACCAGAACGTTGTGGTGTGTTCTACGTTCCAAAGACCATGTTTTAGAGGATGAATACGGCCAGATCAAGTAATCCCACTATCGGTTCACGGGTCTAAGCTCCTTGGTGAGAACCCGGACAACAATCTCACCTCAGTATGCTACTGCACCCACAGTTTTCCAGCATCTTCAAGATCACAATATCCAGGATGTGATTTTATCCTGAGCTCCTTGGTGAGAACCTGGACAGCACTCTCACCTCAATATGTTACTGCGCCCACAGTTTTCCAGCATCTTCATAATCACAATATCCAGGATGTGATTTTATCCTTTTGGAGCCGTGCTACCATAAAATTCCAATGGCCGGAACATCTTTTGGCGGTGAACCGTCAACCATTGGCTTTAATGAATTGGTGGTCTTTGGCAGTTGCTTCTTTGCTCCGTTATTCAGTTATTCACTTGTTATTCGATGATACGAAGTTAATTGAGTTAAAATCCCGCCAAAGTATGATAGTCAGAAAGCCACCTCAGTCCCGTCCTCACTTTCTTACAGCTAATCTCTCCAAATACCTCAGACCATGGTCGCTACGGAATTCATTGATTTTCTGAACAAGCTCCATGTCCCCGACTATATTGGCGTGGAGGACTTTGCAGACAAACTCAGTTTCCTCTACTCAGTTCTGGTTCTGATGCTTTGCACAACCATAGTCACGGTGAAGCAATACTTGATGTCAGCCATCGCTTGTTACATTCCCACCGTACCCTCTGGATCGGATTTCGATAAATTTTTGGAAAACTTCTGTTGGGTTCATGGGACAATTCCTTTGCTTTCCAATGAACTAATTCCTCAAACCATGGATGAGTGGGCCTATTTTGATGATAAATATCGAATAAGTAAGCGATTACCGTTGACTTCTGATTTTACGATTATTCGTGAGTTTTGCATTAGTTGCTTATGGTTGCTAGTCAATATGTGCTAAGTTTCATACACGTAAATCCATTCACTTTCATTTGGCTGGGCGTGTAACTCGTGGATTCCGGAAGCATGATCAACCTTTTATACCACCTTGTCATTCGACTGATCAATAATCACTTAACTGATCTTGTCTGGCGATTTCACTACGACTTTCTGAGTACAACTTTCTAGGAGAAATAAAATGTGTCATGTCGGAGTCCCAAACTGTTCCTTTGTCCTCAAGCGTTTTTCATGGACAGGTTTCCGAAGGGTTGATTGAAAGCCTCAGGTGTGAAGACGTGGCATTGTAGTGCTTAGATTCTTGACCCGATGCACCTGATTTTTTTGCCTCAAGTTACGGTCGTCCAGACTTTATTGCTTTCTTTTTATCGGTAGCTGATATGTATCAGGATGTGCTTGTTGGCATATTAAGGCGTTTGTCATTCTGTCTGGTACTGCTCAGTGGAAGTGGACAGCTAAAATGACAGTTTGAATATTGTGAGCTAGCATCGTGATCGAATGCGTGCAAAATTCTGAGTCCAGACAAGCTCAGACATGTGCTCAGCCTCAAAACATTTGCTGATTGGACCCACCAATACTATGACCAGCAGCCAAACACTAGCGCAGGGATTATTGACGATCGAGTGGCCGCTGTCCGAGATCAGATCACGAACCTGGAAGGACTTGGAATGCACAGTCCGATCGGTGGCTCCTTCTGTCTGACAGGTGGAGGAAGCTGATTCTTCAAGCTATTTTAGTTTGGTCATCAGACCGACGGCCATTAGGTCAGGTCTCTAATCCTCATTGGTTACCGGTGGCTGTTCCACAGTTGGCGCCTCTTCTACAAGGTATCGAAACAATCCGCTTTTTATCACTTATGCTACGCAAGATTCCTCGATTTGCATGTTTCCATACAGATGATTTCGCGGTTCATGAAGAGAAACTTAGTCCAGAGTTCTGCACCTATTGATCAAAATGATGCCAGTCAACTGCGAACAGTAAACGAATTGTGCCCTGAAAATCAACAAGTGACAGCCAGCTACGTAATTTTCACTCGCAACGTATCATCATGACCACCAGCCAAAATAGTTGCACTACTGGCGTAACCGTTCTAGCTCCTATATTGTCAGTCATCCTTTATATCATCTCGCTGCTTAGCGTTGTGAAGGGCAAACTGCAGAATTTCAAGGCGGATGCCTGCGTACTTCTCTTAGTTGTGAATGAGGTGTGACAAATTATATACAGATAAGGGGGACTGACCGATCAAGTTGGGGATTAAAATAACCAGTTAGGTGTCTTTTCTTGTTTTTGCTCACATTTCCTAGCTAACCAGAACACATACCCCTCTAAAGAGTGTCTCCTCTGAAATAGGTGAAATTACTGAGCTTTGCTTACGCTTTACTTGCTTACTTAGCTGGGTTTATGTAACAGGAATGTTATCAAAGCTATTTCTAGTGTGTAATTTTTGATGCTTTTTATTTGCCAAAAGTGTTTGTTCTGGATTGGAATAGTTGAAGAGAGAGGACGACTTTCCTCAACATATATTAAAAGGAGTGCACGGCATGCAAAATTTAGGACCAACTGCTAAATAGCGACGACCAAGTCGGTGGTTCGAGTCCCTCCCGGAAGCGTCTTATTGTTGTTGCCACGTGTACTTGAAATTCTGGTTTATAGAGCGGATGCCTGCGTACTTCTCTTAGTTGTGAATGAGGTGTGACAAATTATATACAGATAAGGGGGACTGACCGATCAAGTTGGGGATTAAAATAACCAGTTAGGTGTCTTTTCTTGTTTTTGCTCACATTTCCTAGCTAACCAGAACACATACCCCTCTAAAGAGTGTCTCCTCTGAAATAGGTGAAATTACTGAGCTTTGCTTACGCTTTACTTGCTTACTTAGCTGGGTTTATGTAACAGGAATGTTATCAAAGCTATTTCTAGTGTGTAATTTTTGATGCTTTTTATTTGCCAAAAGTGTTTGTTCTGGATTGGAATAGTTGAAGAGAGAGGACGACTTTCCTCAACATATATTAAAAGGAGTGCACGGCATGCAAAATTTAGGACCAACTGCTAAATAGCGACGACCAAGTCGGTGGTTCGAGTCCCTCCCGGAAGCGTCTTATTGTTGTTGCCACGTGTACTTGAAATTCTGGTTTATAGATCAATCAAATTGCCCACTTCCTAGCGGCTAACATACTAAGCTCTTCAGAAAACTGGAAGGTATCTACGTCTGGCTCATTGTGGAAGTCAAACAAGGAACTTCCTAAAAACACAGTTATCAACCTTTCATATACTGAATAAAGTTACGTCAATTAAGCTCTGTAGTTCATTTGCGTAGGCGTTGGTACCTGGGTCAGCAGAGCACAGTTCAGTAGGTGGAATGTCGTCAGTTCGAATCCCTTCTTAGGTGTGTCTTCTTGTCCACGTTACGTGTATCTGGGCTCCGGATTTCAAGATTCGTCAGACAACTTCTCATTTTCTAACAGCTACAACTTACCGCATTCTAGGGAAAGTTGTGCATTTGGCATCACTATTCTCTTCAAAACTTTAGAAGCTTTCATCCAGCTTTACGTTGTAAGCTCTTCGAATTGTATACAAAAAGGCAAACATGTCAGGCGTGCCTCCCTGTTTGATTTAAATACAATGAACAAAGGATTGTGGATACAGCTAACCATTATAACGCGACCGTTGTTTGTCAAAGTCACATGACGTATGTCGAGGTCTAGCGAAGTCATGTGAACATTCAGCACGCGGAGTGCAACCTCTAACAGTCGTACGAACATGGAGACTCGGTGAACAGTTGATTCATAAGTCTGTTTCGTGACGTCTGCATATCCAGACATGACTTCCTTGTCTGGCTCATGCATATATGATAAAGTCCACAATTCACAGGCAGGTCACTGAGGCTTTGATGCGTAACTCACGGATCATCAATCCTGAAAGTGTGCATTTTTGGTATGCAGAATATCTTACAACCGGAGCTTAGTAAGTGAATCGATAATTTACCGTTTCCGGACAGACGAATGCTAAGCAAGTGCAGGGCGAGGATCCTAGTCATCGCGCATAAATGTCAGTCAAACAATAGGTACAAACAGACACATTCCACAGATGAGTGGAGAGGGCAGTGAACGCCGGTCGCTTCAAGTGACCCAAGCATCTGTTACGATGATAAGCAGTGATGACCAAACTGCGTCCAGTACAGTATGATGGCGAATAAATAATCAGAATGAGCCTGGTCGCCAGTAGGTGCCCAAGGACGTAAGCAACTAAAATCAACCTTTCTAAGTAGCGACACTTATGAGTAGTTCCCGTGTTCATATTCAGCCGTAGCCCATTACTTCATCTGTTCCGACATCTGGAAAGTAAGCTGGTTAACGTACTTCGTGTGCGTACATTTTCACCGTTAGTCCATGCTGAACTAGTCGTAGTCACGAGTATTTCCCATGTTCATATTCAGCTATAGCCCATTACTTCATCTGTTCCGGCATCTGGAAAGTAAGCTGGTTAACTAACGTCGTGTGCGTGCAGTTTCACCGTTAGTCCATGCTGAACTAGTCGGACTGCTTTGCTTAACAACTCATCAACAAATTAGTTAGAAAGATGGCCTACTGACACCACCATAAAACATCTTGTTTTTCTTTTTTACGTGTGGAGGCTCCGAGAATGATTCACCATGATAGAAAAAGGGAATCCTTCAATGTCAGTAGAGGGCACCTTCCAGAAGCATGTCCCAAATAAAATCCCGCAGTGTTCATTCTCTGGTTTAGAATTGATCTGTGTCGTGCACATCAAAGAAAAACGTTGGGAGAGTTCCAAATAATGCCTTAGCTTGCGGTACATATTGTATGGCCTATTAACTGTGGTTCCTGTCACACACAGCCGGCTGACATTTCTTTCTAGATGTGTCTATCATAGGCCGGATGGATGTAACTTGCAATGTGCGCATGTTGCATGATACTCGAGAGGGAGCCGTTTTAAAACTATCAGTGTGTCCAACTGATGGTCAGTTGGCTGGGTGATTCACATCACTCGTAACTGACAACAGGGCACACACTTGGTATCAGCCAACAATGTGTTTGTTGTGTACAACTTTGGCCATAGGGTGTTACTCCTAAGGCTGTTGCGGCTCGGTCAACTTGGAATGCGGGGCACTTTTGGACCCGGATGTAAATAACTTGACGTAATGATGTCTGTTCTGGGTAGGTTCCTGGCCAAATTCTTGATAAACCAAGCCAGATTAAGGCCCTGTGTGGTCCGTTGGTTAGTCATAGCGACGCTGTTCGATTGAATGATGGTTTACCGCATCGCTTTTCAGCCGCTCCAGGCCGAATGACTGTGTTCAACCACTGGCCGGAATGTGGAGGATTCGAAACCTCCTGAGTTTTGACAGATATGCACTACTAATGATCCTCAGTACAAGGATTGGCTTCTCGGCCTTTCAGCATAGATTGGCTGGACCACTGGCCGGAATATGGAGGGTTGGAAAACTCCTGAGTTTTGACAGATATGCAATGCTAATGATCCCCAGTACAAAGATAGGCTTCTCGGCTTCTCAGCATAGATTGGTTGGAACGGAGGTGAAAATCCTAATTTAGTTATAAACAGCAAGCTGTCGAAGGCAAGGATTGGCTTCTCGGCCTTTCAGCATAGATTGGCTGGAACGGAGGTAAAAATCTTGATTTAGTCATAAACAGCAAGCTGTAGCACGTCGTGTTTGCCAATCGAATGGCCGATAGGTTGTGCAAAACGGTGCAGGGGGACGAGATGAAACTCTGCCGTTCAAATTTCTCAAAGAACATTCAAACGAGTTACACTGCTTCAGGATATCAGAATGAAGGATGTAGTACAATGATTCCTCGTGGATTGGTCCATGTCAGTACGGAAGATGAACTATATTGTAATTGGAATCTTTTGTCGGGCTCTTAATTGCGGCACCTAGTAGAATGACCAAAATCGCTCCAAATTTTTCTGAATAATATCTAAGGGGGGGTTCCGTTTCCTTGATAGTAAATATTCACAAGATATGTATTGCTGTATCCGGATTTTCCTAACTCATTTGTCCATCACCTGTGACCTTCATCGACTTTGTCTCGTTTGGTCCACCTGAACTCAGTTCGTTGAATATCAGCTGAGTAGAAACATTCGCGCATACTGATTAGCATTGATTACTGGTGTAATAGTTCAATCCAACAACATACTTAAACTGATTATCGATTTTTTTCGCACTGAAAATATTTTTGCATCTGCAAGATAGACTGAGGCGGCCGTACAAGCGTACAGGGTTTGTAGCACTGTTCTCACAAAATACTTTTAAACTTGTCGGGTTATCAGTGCAGATTATCTGTTGGTAGCTTAACACTTTTTGTCCATCAGGGCGACTGAATAAAACAGAAAGTCGGGTGTCACTCGATCTGTTTCTATCGCATGAATCATCCTCTCGAGTTTTTCCTATGAGCAGCGCATCTCTCATGTGAGTAGAGCTGACAGTCGATCAGTGGCACTTTAGTTCCCTTCAGTGTAAGTTCTTACAGTATCAGTGTAAGTTGTTACCCCAAAGTGTTACCTAGATTTGTCGCCTTTCCCTAATCAGCTAACCGATGGCTTGTTTGGTCTATGCAGACCAGTTCGAGCGCATCTGGACAACCTTGGTAACCGGACCGAACCACTGTAAGCATAGTTTGCATAAGTTGGTTTCGATAGTTTTTCCACACTTCAATCGTAAAGTAATGGGATCCAAAACAAATGATTATCCCATCTAAGATGGAGTACTGTGAGCGCAACTGCTCACTTATGTATGACCTGTAATCACTGAGTATTTTAGGAAAGGTATTTTAAGCTTGATTTCAACCCTAAGCGATCAGTTGATAAAGTCACCCTGAAACCAGGGAGTTGGCCTCCATCACTTGCCTTGCGTAAAACGCTAGAAAATTTGGTTAATGTATTATAACTTAGAGCCGGTAGCTTTGGCATTAGCAAAACTGATTTACAAAAGAATAAGGTGTGGATAATATAATTTAGATGGAACATGGTCATTTCGATATGAACTGGCAAGGATTTCCTCTTGCTTTGTTCCAGGAAGCAAGGTTGCATGTTGCGCTGATAGTTTAGTGTACCTGCTCAGTTCAACAAAGATGAAACTCTTGGTGCACTTTCATGTCGGAAGTGACGTTAAATCAGAAGGGGGCATGCAATGAAAGCCTTGAACAATTGCTAGCTGCCTACACGGCAGGTTTCATTCTGAATCACTGATAATTCAAAGCCACTATTACCGCTTGCGTGACCCGACTCACTGCATTAAAAAGCTGATCTATTTTATCAGTCACTATTTGGTGCGACACTATCTACTTTGCGAACGCAGAAAGTATTTTGCAATTGTGGGGCTGACAGCTTAAGCCTGAGAAGGAAGAATGCTTCACAAAGCGGACAGCATTGGCAGGTATTCTAAGGAGGTCTTTGTTGACGTATCAGGTAACACAAACCCGTGGTCTTTCCTGGTTTCACGAATACGAGCACACTTTTTCTCACTTCTTTTTGTCTTGCACATTATACCTGCTAAGTCGCTTCATGAAACGAAAATGCAAGGCTGACAGTACTCTTGTGAACTTGCATAATCAAAGAAATCTGTTCGACTGTGCCGGCAACAAAATCATGCGATCATGACTAAAACCTGATTGGTTCTTCTGGGATGTGAATTGAAGACGCGCGTCAGCACGTGATTGATTGCCTGGGTGTATCCGCACACAATCTTCTACCGGTAAGCCAAAGACGATCTTTTCCATACATCCAGATCATAAAGCCAGTGGGTGGACTCAGGCTTTAAGCCTGCAGATACTTGGTGTGTGGTGTATTTGAGGACAGATGGTTTTGCAGACAAATTTTTTCAATATGTTGTCTGACAAGTACAGTCATCAATGTAAATAAACCATAGTACAGTAAAATGCAGAAATGCTGTCTAAATGCGTCAAAATATGACTTCAGTTACAACGGTTGGTAGCGATTTATAGGTTACGAGTGTTTGGTCAGTCAGGGAATAGTTAATATATTCACATGACGTTTCTACTGGCTTATGGTGAACCCTCTTGCTTATTCAAAACTACATTACATTTTCGAGAACAATGGTTTGCAAAACTGTTCTCAGACATGATAGCCTCTTTGGGAGGATCAGCACAAACCTGCAGTCTTCAATGATTAGCTTTCGTACCACATCGCGTCAGATGAAGCATCATGCTGGATGGGATGCAACCCGGTCCAACCAAGAACCTCCATAGGGGTCCACTTTTGAGTGACTACCGCTCATACATAACAAGAATGGGCGTATCAATAGAGCATTGTAATCGTTGGGTTCAGTGTTGCTATGGTCCCATTTAGGGCAGTACAAAATTTTGGAAACGTCTCGTGTGCCTCGTATTCACGGAAACCCACATATGCGTGCGGTGAACAGGGGTGAAAGTCTGAATGACGAAAACAGAGGCTGATTCTGCATCAAAGGGATTCCTATTCAACGCCTGATCAAATGTTGGTCAATCTATAATGAAAAAACGTGATTCTTTTCACCCGTTTCATCAGTAGAGATGCAAGGCGTATATCACAGGACGTAAACGCCTCCCAAGTACTCATTCTGATAAGAGAGATCTCGTGGTTCGACATATTAGCCTAGACACAGGTAATGAGTCTTTTGGATAAATTTTGCGGTTTTTCCCAGAAGACGCTTAACGAGTGAAGATGCTGGATCACGATTTGGCTTTTGGACTTTTGGAATCTGATGCGCTACTTCAGGGAGGCTCTGTCGGGAATGCCCAGCCATGTACTTTAGTATACTTCGAACTCTTCTGTCAAGATATTGTTTCGGCGACCGTAATGGATATGAGAAGTCACATGGGCGGCTTTGTCAGAGGACACTTCTCCCTAGTAGTTTGAGTTGGGCTCAGTTATGCAGCGTAATAGCATATTATTGTCAGTGCTGTTGAGGGGGCTCCGACATGCTAGTAAACTAAGTCAAGTCCCATGGAACTTTCTTTAATCGTCAACTGTGCGTTTCTCTCAGTCTTGCCAAGGCTTCTTGGATACTACCTGTATGTCTGGTGGGCTGATAGTAGGGGATTAAGCGACAAAACCTCCAGACACAAGTATTCTATCTTCGTCAGTGGCAAATTTCGTATGTGAAGGTACTCGAAATGTACTGTATACTACTTATCAAGCCTGCGAGTAGCCTGTTGTCTGGTGTCCCAGCTCCGACCCTGTATCTGATGGAAGATGAAGGTTACTACGGAAATTAAGACACCGCTTTGCAGCGTATGTTCATTATTGCTTAAAATTCAATGAAAGTCCAGGAAAATTCAAGAAGACGCCTGAGAATGTTCACTTTTCCAAAACTCTGTGCAGATGTTATGTTTACTTTCGGGTTTAATGGCATGTAACCGGTTAGTTTGTGTTTTACGGTAATCATCTACACAGCTAAGGGCATTCCTTCTTCTCTTGGCAACAGATAGCCTGCTGAGACTCCTCACAATAAAGACTCTCTCATCATTCTGTCCCAAGACTTCCACTTCATCCTTTCATAATTTCAGAACTCTGCTGACCTCTTTTGGTGCTACGCCAAAACTAGCTTCCACATGTATTGAGTGGCTTCTGTAGGCGTGAGATTCCGAACAGGTTAGGTGAATGCCAACCAATACAATCCGTGTGAGCGGATTTGTATTCATAGCTTACTCACCTGCCTTTATCGTAAATGTTGTGGTACTGCTTACGCCGCCTGTCTTTATCATAACACCGTGCCCTTAGTACTAAATAGCTGAAGCTGAGTACGAAAGGCAAACATACAAAAATCACCATCTGGTATTCCACCCTTTAGTTGACTAGTAATACTTATCAATAACTCAGTTTTTACAGCCCTGTAAAGTAGGTGGAGTTTGATCTATTGGAATGAGCTTGAATTGCTGCACTTAGAAAGGCAGGCAATTCAAGTATGGTGCTTGCCGTTTTGGGAAAACCGGCCAGGGGACAAACTCAAGTCTAGGGCTGTTTACCTCACCGCTGGATCTTCTCCAAAGATTTGCCATCTTGTTCACGTTTTGGGCGAGCGGAATTGCAATGATAATGTGTGGTTCGGGCTCTTTAAACCGACTTCTTTCAGACACCCTCAGGTTCGTCTGCTAGCTAAATTAATTTATTCGTACGAACCTGAGTGCACGGTGTGACAGAAATGTGCCGCTGCTCCCGTTGTAACAAGGCGCATAATTGAGCTCAAAGAACAGTATTACCTGGCTCGACAACTATACACATTTGCACACCAATTTTGTTTCTACGGGAGGCTCACCTGCAACCCAGCTGAATATCTCGTTTAGGATATTCTCAAACTGAATACAGCGCACAACGGCTGCCTCATGTTCACATCACACATCATATTCCACATGTTGAAGTGTATTTTCACGAAGAGAACTACTCACAAGGCTGTAGAAGAGCTTTCATCGACCTTGTGAATCATCATCATCATCATCGACAGCATGACATCAGTGTTCAACACCGATGCTTCACTGCCGTAACCTTGTGAATAGGTTCCTTCGTGAAAAGCATTAGCTGATGTTGCAAAATTTCTCTTTTCGTTAGTTTCACTAGGAAACAAATTACAATAAAGAAGTCCAATCCACAGGTGTTCAGTCGCTACCTGCATCCGGATGACATATAGTTGAAGCTCAATGGCTAGTCTGGGATTTCCCAACTCCATAATCTGTAATCAGAAGTGCTCGGTGGAGCTCATCGTAAATCAGCACTGGGCTTTCGCGGTCGGGTAAAATTTAACGGCAAATGGGTTTCCAGAATAGGTAGTGTTTGCTGTCGTGTCCTTCCAATTGCGGTGCCAAACTTGATGTCTTCACTATTTCGGCAAGGTCTTTCTGATTTCTCAGGCGCCATTGATCATTTTGCTAAATTTTGTTTGAGTGAGACATCCACAGTAATTTGATTCGTTGAGGTGTTTACTTTCCAAGTGAGCCTTTTTTTACCAAAACTATGCAGCACAATTTAGGCTACATCACTTTCAATTTACGCTATCATATTGAAGATGGAACTGAAATTTGTCGTGAGTAAGCTATCGTTCACATTCGACTAACACGGATATCACAAGCTGCGTCGCAAAATAGCAATAGGGCGAGAAGTTTGTAATTCCAGCGTGCCGTGTGTATTCTGGAACAAAATAGTTTAAAGTATTCTCTGCCCAGGACAGTTGATGTAATCACTTTTAACCATCTCTTCGGAGGCAGTGAGTGTATTCAATCAAGCTCACCTATTATTCTCCAGTCTTGTGAAAAATACGAGCTGCGTGTTTTGTCAAAAACCTTTGTTTTTACTTAGCTTTGTGTTAACGTATGAGGGTCAAAATGCATCTCACTACTGGTTTCAATGAATCGCTGTACCTTAAATAAGCTCGTTTGATAAGTGAAACAGCGGACTAAGTTTTTCTGGCATCCAACAATTTTGCACTTCACTGAAATGGTTGCTGTCCGCTGAAACTTCCCAAATTCCGAGAGGCAACATTCATGAGATCGTTATGGCGGCTCTATTTCAAGTTTGTCATACACACAATAAAATTTTTAACAAACACAGTCCACCAGAAACGGACATGTTTGGAATAGTTCAAGAGAATGAACAACAGACTGTTAGTATAATTCGGCTCTCCTTGTGTTAATGACACCTGAACAATGCTAATCCACGGGTTTTCCACATAAGAGCAACGCTTGCGATGGTATCGAACATTTTCCGCGGTAAATTTCATTGGTTACTTTTTGTCATACAATGATTTCCATGATAGAAATGATTTTGAAAGGATCGGGAAGTTTCTGCTATCACACGCCACCAATCGGCATGACTTACCAACACACAGGACACACAAGACAAACAAATAAATTAAAGTCATTAAGGACTGGTGTTGCCACTGAGATATTGTCACTAAAGACTGGTATTGGTCCTACTTTGTGCTCTGGGTTGCGTCATCGATTTATTCCTATGTGGATCATGATATATTTCATGTTTATTAGCTTCAAACTGTCAGTAATATCTTAGAGCCCCATTTTGAACTGTTCGTTGACAGCAATGAATCATGCGGTTCGTTTCGTTCTATCCACACTGATTCTGTTAAGACATGTCACCTGTGATTGTGTGTTATCACTCTGTTCACATCCTATCATATTAATGACTGAGACTGGACTGCCTGAGCTGGAGGTAATTTGCAAATTTTATTTAGCTCATTTTCCAACGGACGATTTTTCCGACTCTGTCTGCCTGGGGCACATGGGACTTTTTTATATTTTGACCTGGTCTTCCAAGTTGGGGTTTGGAATATGCGTCGTAACATGTTCCGTAAAAATGGTAATGTGCCTGCAGTTCCAGCGAAACACCGCTGCCTTGCGCATTGGTGGCATTCCATGGTGGAATCCCCATGAACTCTACACATACAACCATGATATTTTAACCTGCATTTGAACGCATTACTTGATTGAATACATCTGGGGATCATTTTGATGAAGGTTACTGTGAGTAACGTGCCTGAGGGACACAAAATACTACTACCGGCATTCAGCAACAATCGTTATTGTTGTAACTGAATAACACCATTTAAACATAAAACTCGTGTGGTGATGTTCGGTCTAAGGATATCTACCCCCCAGGCTTACAGGTGAACTGTGAGCACTAGTCAGCCGGTCCTTGCAAGGGGCTTGTGATAATAGACAGCTGATTAAGAAAAATCGTGATGTACTGCTCAGCTCGAGGCCGCGTATTTAAGAGATGTCATGTAATGACCTCCGTATAGTTGGGACTAAGTACTCGCATGATTTCCCAGAAAATACGAAAATCATTGTAGGCGCCTAATTACTTTCTCAGCGATCCAACTGAGTGCTTACGAAGAAAGAACATAAAGCACAAGAAGACTGAATCAAGTCAGTTGATGACTTCTTCGAGGCTGCACACGTGTTCCACTACTGATGTTAATTTGCGGTGCACCTTTCACATCTCAGGGGATAATTGCAGCTCCAAGCCTGTTAAACTTTTCAGCCTTGGTTATCTTCTTTTTCAAGACGAATCCCCCATTAAAGCGTTACATCTGCTGATGACATTTTTAGAACCATAAGTGACCTACTGAGAAAGAAAGACATCCCTCAAGTTGTACGAGCCTTCTATCTGAGAAGTCTTCATTCAAAGAGCCCGTCAGTATGTGAACCACGTAACGTGACTTGTATGATTAAGCGGTAGTCGATGGGAGTTGACCACACTGCCAAACGGTGCAGTCTTTGACTAATAGGCAGGAGATTGTGGGTTTGAATTTTCTACACGCTTGATTTTTTCCCAACAGAGATAGAAAGGCTCGTAAGTGTCCTTCAACATAAATTAATTTCATTTACAGCTCCGGATCTGGATTAAAATGTCAATATACTTCTGTACCACCATCAATTTCAAGAGTTCTGTTTTTATGTGGCTGATGGATTTCACATCACTCTAGCCTGAACAATACTCTTTCTATCCTGGCGCTACGATATTTAATAGAACCCATTCAAAGTCAAAGTCCCACTGCTGTTATATACTGAATTTATGTTTATTTTTGTCCCAGATTACTATCAGTGGGTCCCATTTATGCTTGGACTACAGTGTATGCTATTCTATATTCCGCGGATTGTGTGGCAACTGATATGCTGTAACCGAACTGGAACCGATATCGAGCACTTGGTTGTTGTAGCTCATCAAGCCAGCAACGCAGCCCCAGCAGATAGATCCAAACTTGTCAGTCACGTGACAGCTTCTCTGAAAGGTATGTTATATCAACATCGTGAATATCGCCATGGTCGAGTGCTGGAAGCAAAAAAACGATTGTTTGATGCCTGTGGTTTATTGGTGGTGAGCAAACGCTTGGGCACATGGCTTGCCTTCACCTACTTTGTCATCAAGCTCCTCTATCTGACCAATTCCGTAGGACAGTTGTATCTGATGCAAAGGTTTCTTGGTTTCAACGCCACACTGACAAACTTCGGTGCCAAACTAGCTGACTATATGCTTTCTGGCAGAAATTGGGAGCAAACTCGCATATTTCCACGGATATCGTTTTGCTATTTTGCTGACTTGCGTCAACTGGGATCCACAAATCGATATGTGGCTCAGTGTGTGTTGCCTGTGAATATGTTAAATGAAAAACTATATATTTTTCTTTGGTACTGGACGGCCATGGTGGCCATTCTAACTGCCTTCAGCATTCCTTTGTGGTTGATGCGCCTAACATTTGCAAAAAGTCGTGTGCGTTTTATCAAAAAGTTTTTACGGATAAACGAACAATTCCATCGATCCGACAAACAGTTGGTCAAGGACTTTACTGAAAATTTTCTCCATCACGACGGGATATTTATTTTACGGATGATTTCTATGAATGCTGGAGATGTAATTACTTCGGAAGTCGTATCGGAATTGTGGAAAGGCTTCTATGCGGAACACAACAGTACGGAACCCGTTGGTCCGGAGCCGTCTGCTCCACTTCCACTGGCAGACCACAATGAAGATAAGGCACTGGAAAAGAACCATATGGCAAGAAGTAGAAAGTCTTTTGTGTGAAAATCCACAGCTCTTGTACAGTTCCAGCTTCCTCTCACCTGGAGAACCTACTGATTATTCTGTCATGCTAAATTGCGTTACTCATTTGTTTATGAAATGAATAAAACCATCAATGATAATTTTCCACTGTTGAACGATAAGTCACTAATCCCATGGTCAATCTTTTGTCTGCATGTGTGTGCTGCTTAGTTTGTTTCGTTTTGTTTACTCTTGTTAAGGACTGCCGGATGTACCAGGCCAACAAGAGGTCGCGTTCAATGGCACTTCCGTTTTGCTCTTCTGTAGTCCGTTGTGGGAGGACGGCGCCGTGTGGTCTTGGCTTGTGGTGGTTAGCTGCTAAGACTGATTCGCAAAATGGGGTTCCTAAGGCATGGCTGATTGATGGCATGTGATCAAGCCAATCCAGTTTGCTAAAATGAATGTCTGTTTATACTTTGGTATTAGCGGGCCAGCGTAGTTTGCCTTTTCCTTCAAGACTAGTGTTCACATGTGGTAACAAAGTCAACAAGATTAGTCTGATTGTTTTTAAGCTTAGCTGATTTTAGAATGACTCGTTCGTTTTACTCACCAGCTTTCATGGAGCGAGCTGAACAGCTTTACCCCGTAAAAGCCACAAAAATCAAGCCAAACATTTTCTTTGACTTGGTCAACAGACAAACGCTTATTGATGGTTCATCACATTTGATCCATACCACATACTAAGCTAAAGCAATCCTCGGCCCCCGGACGAAACTAATGCTTCCAGTACGAGTAAACCGTTGTTCCCGTCCTGTCCATGATCATTTTATCTGTTCAACCTGACACAGCAAATATCGCGGTCCGGGTGTGTCACGAAAACTTTCCATACGGCTGCCGGAAATGATTCTTGATCTGCGATCTGTAATCTCTCTTGTTTACGTCACATCATTCTAGATTGTAGGAAAGTATTGAACTTTGGTATGTCTAAAAATTGGCGGAACGTTTGCTAGAGCCACAAGAATGACGTGAGCTTCAAAAACCAAGACTCTCCTTTTCATAAGTTAGCCAAAGCACTAGGCGTAATAAGAGCAACGGTAATGTTTTCCATCGAAAGTGACAAACTGTACTTAGTGACAAGAATTTCGTAATATTCGACCAAAAACACCATAACCAAGGTATATTTTCAAGCCTCGCTTTGCTTTTACAACTGCATGGTTTCACTAAACTCACGTGAGGAAAGACGAAGAAGGACATGGCGGTACGGATTACGAGGGGAATGGTGACTGAGAAATTATTACCTTTTACTCATAAAAGTTGGCTTTTGTCCAAGAAGAAGTGACTGACATTAGAACGTAGCCAGAGTTGGGAGGTAGGAACCGGGGAATGTCCCGTCATGTGGACTACGTTTTGCGCGTGTGCATGCGTGTGCATGTGTACGATGAGGCATGGAAGCGGCTAAAATATAACTTTGGGATGGCATGTCGGGGTCACAAGTTCTCCCAACTAGAAGTTAGATTACTCCACCTTTTGGTGTATCAGGGTACCAAGTGAATGGTTACAGGTTCGTAAGGGTGCTCATGTCGTAACCGACTCAATGTATGAACCGCACCGTTGGATGACATCCCAATTAGTGTTTGCGACGTTCGTACTCACCCACTGCCTTTGAGACCTGTAACTCTTTGAAAATATGGGGTATATGTTGAGGGTGTAGGATGTGTACCAGACGAGTAATCTCCATCGTGTAAATCACGTCGATTCGTGACAAGAATACCACATTTGAGATGAGGAGTTGCGGCGTGTGATCGATAATCCGTGGTCGGCACCCATCAACATCCAATATCCTTTTGACATGATCAATCCCTTTCCCCAATAAAGCCAGTTTATTACAAATTCGAGTTTTTTCGGTTGACCAGCCAGCCAGGCACTTTATTCATCCTAAATATTTCGGATAAGCTGAAGTTCAGACAGCAGAAAACCTGCGTCAGCTTTCGGCGGAATGTATTTTCACAGTGATGATTGGTTTGTCTTCTGGTTGTGAAACTAACCGAGTTCCACAGGATTTGTGAATACAACAGTAGTTCATTATATACATAATATTTTACGAAAAAAAAAACACATCAGTAACTGTTTTAAATAACACCCCCTGACGACTGTTATCATTTCCACTGCCTGGGGATCAAAATCTGTCAAAAATTGTTGGTTATGATAGAACTCACGGCGACCCCGTCAGTATGTAATTTAGACTGGTTCTTGAGCATGTATAGAGCAGCTCGTGGAGACACTCCCAGACGTACCGGAATAGATTTACAGAAACAGAAGTGTGACGCACGCCGTGAGTATATACTATGGAAACTCAAAACACTCACTCCATTGAATACCTTTTGAATAATGTCTTCTTCTTATCGGTTGTCTGTTTCATCAAATTTTTTGGGTGAATGATTGCTGTGTTTTGGGTTGTTGCTAAACAATTGCTTCAACATACGAAAATCAGAGGACAAGGGTGCATGAGCCTAAGCTGTAGTTTGGGGAAGAAATCCAGTGAAAATATTTGGATTAAGCACGTGCTGCTGGGTACGTTTACGTAATTGACGTCCAGGTGTAGTCTACAGACTACTCAGTTTCTGCGAGAACAGAGTAGATGGTAGATTTACTGCAATGAGTTGGCTAAAGACGCAAAATGTTTAGTTAAGGTCGAGAAAAAATCCGAATCTATTCCATTTGCAACATCAAAAGAATCCTGCCATGTCAAAGCTCAAGCTCAACACGTTTCGTTTCTATGATGGAAACCATCAGACCGCTCACACATGACACATTAGATCCTCCTCTGTTTAGTCGATTCACCTTCTGGCCCCCATCGGTTATCAGGTAGTACATACAGACTGTAGCAGACGGACGGACACTCATGCAACATGTGTCAGGCGCGGTGACGCCAACAGGCTTCCATCAATCTGGATGGATTTGACCTCACACATAAATGGGCGCAAGATGCTAGCCAAAGCGACAGTCCAGACATTATCACAGAAAAGCCCAGCACACAAAATTGGATGAGTTGGGCACCCCAAACCATACACGAAGACGCGTATCATGTCAACTGTATTCATCATAATCATCATCATCATAATCACCATCATCATCATCACGGTGCTAGTAGCCAGTCACCTGACACGATGTTTCAATCGAATATAAATTTTCTCGCTCTCACTTTATTGTCTGATTGTACACAAATTCTAGTAAAGTAACCATTGATGCCCGAAAACGTCTGGATTATAGCACTTTATCCCTGAAATCCTGGTGTTTCTCTATATAACGAACCATATGACGCGAAAACTATTCAGGACCACCTTTGGTTCAGGTTGTCTAGGTTCATCTCTCATCCCTCACTCACCAGTTGGCTCCATATTTTAAAGTTGTGGCGTTGTCTTATTCCGATCTTTTGTTTTGTAGAAGAAAGCACCGATAGTTTTCTCTAATAGACAGCAGCAGCTTGAGCAAATCTGCGCGCCGAATCTGCCCTACCAACCGTAGCTCGGAAACCTCTGTGGTAGCCAAGCACAGGTATTCCTCTAGTTACCCAAGTGAAATGTAGTTGATTTTCTTATACAAATGTCAATTCTTCCTATGGGTACAAAGCCTTCATCGTATTACTTGCGCGTTTCGTGGCATATTAATTAGGCCTACGTTAAAACACGCTTCTGACGGATTTCCATCTACCTGTGTTCTTGCTGATTCCGGCCGCTTTGAACTTGAACGAAGATCATTCAACCTCATAGTCATGTTGGATGCGTTTCTTTTCGAAATGCAAATCAGGATCCTGTAGCCATATCCCTAAGTATGTAACTTGGCCCCACAATCCTCACGATGTCACCGTAGGTAGGCAGCACTTGTTGGAGAGATATACTTCTTCACGACGAAACCCGAACTTATCATAATGCTACCGAGCGAGTAGGTTGGCTACCGAACGGGCTGCGACAAATACGTTGTTCTGATCCCTCAGGTTGGAAGCAAAGATGGGACTTCAATGACTATCAAGGAAATTCTCGTGAATTTTCTGTTAAATTATCGTTTCAATTCTCCATTGCATTGATATATGGCCTCCTCGAGCTACCCAAAGGTTTAAAGCTCATGGTTCAAACATTTACTTAGGACCCCGATCCAAACTTCTAGTCAATACAATGCCTGAGTGGCGCTTCTCCATCGATATCAGCAAGAGATATGTTGAAGGGGCTCTCGGTAACGCCCTAATTTTGATTCCTGTCTAACAAATGTTTAAAATGTTTAAATGTTTTCTTCTGTATTTGGGCAGATTTCAACATTCAGCTTTTGAAACTCTCTCTTTCTACCGGTTTTCCCATCTGTACGACCGTGCAGGAGAGGTGGGGAAGAGGTAGGTGGAATCGATCCCTCATTTTTCGTCGATCGCATAAACGACCTTCCTAAGCCTGATTACCTCTATTTGGAATCGAAAGTGTCCGTTACGAGATAGCAAAGTATGACTGTATAGGGATCTAGCCATCCTATGGAAGTCGAGAGACAATGGCGATTAAAAATTTAATCACCTTGAACTACTAGAATGTGATCAGTAAGCAATAACAACTGCATTTATTTGTGTGTGTAGCAGCAACTATAAGCCACCTGGGACAGATGGAATGACGTCCGAAAGAGAAAGGTGTGAACACACACTCTAGAAACCCCACCACTATTCACTTCCACTTACATATTTTCTTTCCATAACGTATTATTCATGAATTCGCAGTGAATTATCCGACGGCATATTTGTTTTCTTACAGCCCCATCCACACCAAGATGTCCGGGGTCGACTTCATCAGTCTCTACAACAAGTATCAACTGCGTAAATTTGTCGGGGTAGACGACTGGGTTGACCGACTGAGTTACGTTTATTCGGTCATAATTTTGCTTGGATTCACGGTTTTGGTGACTTCCAAGACGTACCTGTTCAGCCCGATTGCTTGTCACATGCCAACTGCCCCACAGGGCGCTAATTTCAAGAAATACGTGGAATCGGTTTGCTGGGTGTTGGGCAC